TAGCCCTAAAGAACTTGGAAAACAATGACGATATAGGCATAAAGCCTGTGGACAAATGAAGGGGTATTGTAATAATGTCCAAGCAGTATTACATGGAAGAAGCTCTACGCTTACTAGAAGATGGAGAAACAAACAAAGTCTTAAAGGATAACCCCATAAAACTATGAATAATTTGTTGAACCTTCTACTATCAGAAGCCAAAGAATAGGGCATTATAACTAGAACAGAATACAATGTTCTTCACATTCTGTACCTTAGAACTCCAGTGTTCTACTTCTTGCCCAAAAATTTACAAAAATCTTACACTCCCCCCTAAAAGACCTATCATTCTCCGCATCCAAGGAAAAAGATTATTTTCTTCAACCATACGTTACAAGGTTGCAAGTACACCTTAAGGTAACACAAGTGTGGTCAAGCATTTGGTCAATCTGACATGGTGCAAGCAGCGTTTTTTGTTTGTGGCTGATGTCACCACTCTGTACACCATCATAGAACATAAGAGAGGATGCAATGTATGAAACATGCATTGACAATAGATGGGGAGCTGGTAGAAAAAAAAATAAAGTTCATTCTTGACAACATCATGCTCAACAACTACTTTTGCTTTAAAGGAGTTTTCTACCTACAAAAAAAAAAAAAAAAAGAGGTGCAGCAATGGGAAAAGGCAGGATGGCAGACGGGACCGAAAAAGCGTGTCTTTCCCACAGAAATCAGGTTGGTGGGGAGGCATGCAATCAGGCAGTGATACTGCAGAAGCATGATTCGATACACACTTTTAAAGGGATACTCTAACATCCTTTAGTGTTAGAGTATACCTTTAAATGTATAATTGTCATCAGAATTGTTCATATTTGCTACCATTCTGGGTTTTTCCCATTTTTTAGAACAATTATTATTTGGAAAAAATACTTTTACAGCATTATATTAATTAGTACTCACCTTTACGTACTTCATTTTAATTTTCTAGTTCATTCTTTTTTATCCTCCAATAAATGTCCATCTTGTCGGAGAGCAACAACATTCATGCAGTAGTTCCATTCTTGCTTGTTCCATTGACTGCTTGTGAATTCTCTTTCATCCTACCAGCAGAAGATAACAGTGCTGAAAGAAAGTGAGAATAGAACACATATGGTTTCATATTACATGGCAAACTTTAGCTGTGCAGAATCCAAATCTCAAATCTGTTGTTTAAGTTTTGGTTTAAAAGCAGAGGTGCTTGATGGAAGAGACTGTTAAACGTTTAAAGGGGTTTTCCAAGTATCAGGACTAGGAAAATGAAACTGCAGGGAGAACTTGCCCTCTGCGCTGAATGGGAGGCAAGATTTATCGTTTTTCCTTTTTTTTTTTTTTTTTTTCACTAACACCTTACTTTGTACCTTTTTACTGTACACTACTATAATCTTGCCCACAATGAACCTTATTTGTGTCCCTTACTTGGAATAATCCTGGCCTGCTTCAATGCTAAACCATAACTCCAAATATGTCACTTTTACTTTGGAATGTGACCCAATCCTTCTTACTCAGGTAGGACACCAAATGTATGCTAAGGGCCGGGACAATACTCCTTTAACCTACCCTGCAAGTCAACTTCTTGGAGCTCAACAAGAAAAATTACAATGAAGTTAATAACATATTAGGTATAGCACTAGTCAGGACTCTAGATATCAGAAAATGGCAGGAGAAGGTATATGCAGTTAGGAAGACTAGGACTTAAATCGGCAGGGCCGTTCTTAGATCTTTATGCACACTATGCAAAAAGTATGGCAGACACATATCAGTGCCTTTCCATCATTAATGATAATTGTCTCTTTATAATACCAAAAGGAAATTAAATAAAAATATAATAATGTACTTTTAAAGTCACTTATGACAGTCCTAGTCTCACAGAGACATACTTTTATAAATGTACCTTTTAAAATTACAAGTCAATAGTCAACAATGACAAAAGGATTATCACTCTTATAGGTAGAGATGACACTGAAAGACCATTATAAATATGAACAACTTTACAAACATTTTCTCAGACTCTAAAACCTCACAGACACCGTATTACATACTCTGTCGTAATACTCTACATATATTTCATATAATGTCATAACCTCTCCTAGACATTCACAATAAAATATGAGCCCTATCCACCTATATAAAACAGCCAACATTTATAATGCTGATGTCGTAGAGCATTATAAATGTTGGGTGTTTTACTACTTCTAAATATACCTAACTAGCCACACATGGTAAATAAAATCATCTATAAAAAGCACCATATATGAAGTTTCTATATGAGAAATCATAATTATTTTAACCATTGTCTAAACACACTCAACTAGCTATACAGATACTGAAAATTAAAATAACAGCCTTGTGTCCTCTGCCATGAGGCTAATTGGTCAACTTGTACGGTTAATGATATTGTGGTTGTAGGTGATCAACAAGAAGTTAACCTCTATATTTTCCAAATTCCTTTGCATGATTATTTGAAGGTCATCAATGGCTGCAGAAACACCTGTATGATGAGGGCATCCTTAATTTTAGGATGAAGCTAAAAAGTGTAAATCAGGTACAACCATGGCTGGAACGTCAGTGTAGCCAGCTTCATTTGCTGCTTGGGCCCAGGTGGGGAAATAGCAGGCCAAAGTCAGGGAACCAGAAATTCAGAAAAGTCAAATACAAAGCCGGGTCAGTAACAGGAAAACAAACAAATACACAGTGCGCACTCTCGGGTAGAATAAACATTGACAGGGCCATGATCTCCAGAAAAATGGACGGTTAAATAGGGAGAACAACAATTCTATTGGACAGCATCATCACCCTGCACCAAATCACACACAGGGGTGTGATATGTAAAGGGCAGGTGATGTGTCCCAATAATATGACCTGTTACTTTAATAGTATAAAAAAACCTACACCTACAGGGTCCTGTAATTTCTATAGACTCCTGTAGGTGGCGTAACGCTGCAGGCATTGCTCTGCATGAGGAGCAACTGAACGTCGCATGGCGTTCACCGAGGCCGGAGCGGAGACTTTGTGGCTGCCCCAGGGAAGACCCTGGGCGCTGCACGTGCCGCGCGGCAGTCCAAGGTATGACACTGGCTCACAATACACATAAAAATGTAAGCAAGCCACAACTGGCACAGAATGACTAAAAACAAGATATATAAAATACTCATTGTAGAAGAGGTCAGGCCAAAAACAAATACTGGAGTCAGGGCCAAATAGCATTCGATCTGGAAGAGACTATGAGCAACAGAACAGCAGGGAGCAGGATTTAGTAATACTCAGGCTGAGTCAGCAAATTCAATCTGCTTTCAGTTCTGAAAAGAACGTGAGGTCAGAACAGGAAAGGTCAGAAGACTACAACATTTATCTCCTTACTGACTGACACTGAATGGTTTCCCAATAAAAAAGGAGGGAGAACAGAATGGTTGGCAAACTGAATTAATGTATTGGATTGAGTTCCAACCCTGAACCCAGTAGGAAAGGGCACAGACTTCATTGCAATGATTACTTTATAAGGGACGTGCCTTGCAGCATCTAGGAATGGTGCAGGTTACATGGGTAGACAACCTTTGTCACGTACTGTTGTGGAATACATCTCCCATGATGCTTTGCCAGCATTATGACTGTAAGACAATTATGGAAGATGTAGTCCATAACACCTGGCGTGCCAAAGGTTGCCTATCCCTGTTGTAGGATATCAGACCTCCCTGTTTGGCACCTACACTTTGTGAGCCTCTGTTGACAGAAGGTGTGTAGTTGATGAGTGGTTAATGGAGGTACCAATAGATGTGTGTAGCGTAAGAATTTTGACAAGCACAATGCACATTTTGTGGGTTTTACCATCGTAATGCTGAGGTTTTAACTGGGCATCAAGACATTATATGTTTCATGTAGTTTGGCAGAAGCTGCTTCCATAGAGCTTGGTTCAATATCTCTGAAGAGATTATCACTTATGTAGGATGTCTTCCTGAGGGGGAAAAGATCTGGAAATGCTTTCATTGTTCCTTTGTAGGGTTAAAGGGATACTGTAGGCACTATAACATTTTACTTCACTGATTTGGTTATAATGCCTGGAGTCTCCTGGCACTCTCCCCCCATTCAGGGTTAATCCATTTTCGTTTGACACCAAATAAGTGTACTTGGCTATCCACAGCCCAGCCTCCACTGAAGGTATGGCTAAGGGAATGAGTTACATACTTATTTCTAACCATACCAATTTCTACCAACAATGGGTTATATGATAGACTTAAAGCAGTCAGTTCAGTGTCTCAGCCAATCAAAGCTGCCCATTTCTGATCAGGCTAATGCTTCCCCATTAGCGCAAACAGCACAGCTCTTAAATGCTGAATGAAAGAACTGCTCCGGTGAACTCCAGACACTATAACCACTTCAATGAGCCAACACACTTAAATTGCCTACATTGTCCCTTTAATGATGTTGAAGTTGTAACTTGCGTGATTAGCAATTTAATTCATCACGTAAAATAGTTCTTATGGGGGTCATCCAAAATTCTAACAGGACGCTATAGCAGCATTTCCTAATGAGTGTTCATCGGTACCCTAGAACAAAATTGGGGTTCTGCAGCGATTTGCATGTCGGGTGGCCCAAGCATTTAAGGCCCCCAATAGATATCACTAAACAGGGGTCCAGTTAGGCACCGCGGCAGTCTAAGACCGCGACCGGACCCCTGTTGTATGGGATGCTGGGAGGAAATGACAACACTTCCTCCCAGACAAAGTGCGCAGGCTGGAGGGAGAGAGGGAGCAGCGGGGACTGAGCAGCACACAACGTTCAGCCAATAGCACTGAAGACCTTCCTGGTGAAAATGGGTAAGTGAACAGCACGTGTGTGTGTGTGTACGTGTACCTGTGTCAGTATGTGTATCTGCAAATGTGTGTGAATCTGTGTAGCAGTCAGTGTGTGTATGTATGTGTCAGAGAGTGTGTGTATGTGCCAATGTGTGTATATCTGTCAGTATGTGTATCTGTGTGTGTTTTTGTCAGTGTGTGTGTGCACTGGTGTTTGTATGTGCTGGTGTGTGTATCTGTGTATCAGTGTGTATGTATCGGACACACAGATACACACACTGGCACACAGATACACACACCTTGGCACAATGATTCACACATTGGCACATACAAGCAGATACACATCACATTCGCAACATACACACTGGCAGATACACACACCTTGACACACAGATGCATACACACTGTGTGTCAAGGTGTGTGTATCTGTCAGTATGTGTATCTGTGTGTTTTCTGTGTGTGCATCTATGTGCCGGTGTGTATCTGTGTTTGTATGTGCCGGTGTGTGTATCTGTGTGTCAGTGTGTATGCATATGACACACAGATACACACACTGACAAAAATACTAACACACAGATACACACACTGGCACAATGATAGCCACATTGGCACACACACACAGAGATACACAACTTTACATACAGATACACACTGGCACACACAAATAGATACACACACTGGCCATGGGCGTCCGCAAGGGGGGCAGTTGACCACCCTGGATTTTTCAGCTTGTGCCGATATTTTTCTTGTTAGATTCAGAATACACTGCAATACCGGCACCAGCCAGTAGGTGGCACTGTGTGTGGAGACAGACAGGGATAGGAAGCTACATCTTATCCCTGCTTCCCTCTCCTGACTGAATCCGCAGGGGAGCAGCACATGCAGCCAGCAACTCCCAGACTGCAGACACAGCCTACAGATCAGGTAAGTGAGGGATGGGGGGACAGCTTACAGATCAGTTAAGTAAGTGATGGGGGGCAGCTTACAGATCAGTTAAGTAAGGGATGGGGGGCAGCCTACAGATCAGGTAAGTTAGGCATGGAGGGGCAGCTTACAGATCAAGTAAGTAAGGGATTGGGGGCATCTTACAGATCAGGTTAGTGAGGCATGGGAGGGTGGGCAGCTTACAGATCAGGTAAGTAAGGGATGGGGGTCAGACTACAGATCAGATAAGTAAGGGATGGGGGGCAGCTTACAGATCAGGTAAATGAGAGATGGTGGGGCAGTCTACAGATCTGGTAAGTGAGGCATGGGGGGCAGCTTACAGATCAGGTAAGTGAGGTATGGGGGGGCAGCTTACAGATCAGGTAAATGAGGCATGAGGGGGGAGCTCACAGATCAGGTAAGTGAGGCATGGGGGGGGCAGGCTGCCTAAAGATCAGGTAAGTGAGAGATGGTGGGGCAGTCTACATATCTGGTAAGTGAGGCATGTGGGGGCAGCTACAGGATCAGGTAAATGAGGTATGGGGGGCAGCATACAGATCAGGTAAATGGAGGCATGAGGGGGGAGCTCACAGATCCCAGGTGAGGCATGGGGGCAGGCTGCCTAATGAGAGAGTGAGAGATGGTGGGGCAGTCTACATATCTGGTAAGTGAGGCATGGGGGGGGCAGCTTACAGATCAGGTAAATGAGGTATGGGGGGCAGCTTACAGATCAGGTAAATGAGGCATGAGGGGGGAGCTCACAGATCAGGTAAGTGAGGCATGGGGGGGGCAGGCTGCCTAAAGATCAGGTAAGTGAGAGATGGTGGGGCAGTCTACATATCTGGTAAGTGAGGCATGGGGGGCAGCCTACAGATCAGGTGAGGCATGGGGGGCAGCCTACAGATCAGGTAAGTGAGGCATGGGGTCAGCATACAGGAAGGGTCAGAAAGGAGCAGTAAGGGACATTAAAGGAACACTATGGGGTCAGGAACACAAACATGTATTCCTGACCCTATAGTGCAAAACCCACCATTTAGGTGGCTTGTCCCCCCTTAGCCCCCTTAAAAGTTAATAAAACTCACCTTATTCCCAGCGCCCCGCTGTGTATTTGAATCAATGCATCTCTATGAGGAAAATTCTGCGTCTCCATGCTCTGCATTTTGTGCAGCACTGAGGAATGGCCACTGGGCAGTGTCCCTAGGGGCAATGGAAACACTGCCTTTTCTCTGCATAAAAATGCCTGCATATAATGATTATACCCACAAGAAAAACCACATTAAGCTGTAGTTGTTCTGGTGACTACAGTGTCCATTTAAGAATCAGAAAGGGTCTGCAAGGAGCACAAAGGTAAAGTAGGAGAAGGAGCACAAAGGAACAGAAAGTGTCAGCAAGGAGCTGGAAAGGGGCAGCAAGGAGCTGGAAGGGCAGAAGAAGCACAAAGGTAAAGTAGGAGAAGGAGCAGAAAGGGGGCAGCATGGAGCACAAAGGTAAAGGAGCAGAAATAATCAGAAGGAGCACAATGGTAAAGTAGGAGAAGGGGCAGTAAGGGATGTGGGGCAGCTTACAGATCAGCTAAGTAAGGGAGCACAAAGGGGCAGCAAAGGGCCCAAAGGGACAGAAGGAGCATAAAGAGTCAGAAGGAGCACAAAGGTAAAGTAGGAGAAGGAGCAGAAAGGAGAAATAACAGAAATTAGCAAGAAGGGACATCAAGGAGCAGAAAGGGTCAGCAAGGAGCAGAAAGGGTCAGCAATGAGCTGGAAGAGGCAGAAGAAGGAGAAAAAGGGAACATAAATAAACAGAAATAGTCAGCAAGGAGCAGGAAGGGTCAGCAAGGAAGAGAAAGGGGCAAGAAGGGACAGATGGAGCACAAAGGTAAACAAGCAGAAATAATCAGAAGGAGCACAAAGAAAAAGAAATGGACAGCTAGGAGAATAAAAGGGCAGCAAGGAGCTGGAAGGGTCAGCAAGGAGCTGGAAGGGACAGAAAAAGCACAAAGTCAAAGGAGCAGAAAGAATCAGAAGTTGCACAAAGGTAAAGTAGGAGAAGGAGCAGGAAGGGACAGAATGAGCACAAAGGTAAAGGAGCAGAGAGAATCAGAAATTGCACAGAGGTAAAGTAGGAGAAGGAGCAGAAAGGATCAGCAAGGTAAAGTAGGAAAAGGCGCAGAAAGGGTCAGCAAGGAGAATGAAAGGGCAGCAAGGAGCAGAAAGTGTCAGCAAAGAGCTTAAAGGGGCAGAAGGAGCACACAGGTAAAGTAGGAGAAGGAGCAGAAAGGAACAGAAATGAGCAGGAAAGGTCTGCAAGAAGCAGGAAGGGACATCAAGGAGCAGGAAGGGTCAGAAGGGAGCAAAAGTAGCAGAAAGGAGCGTAAGGGCGCAAAATAAGCTGAAAGGTAAAGGAGCAGAAGGAGCCAAGGAGAAGAGAAGACGGTGTCAGAATAAAAAGAAGACAAAATGAAGGAGAAGAAAAGAAGATTGGAGCAGGAAGGACAGGTGAAGTGATCCCTCCACTTCATTCTGGACACCACATCATAAGGCTTTGGTACCTGGGCCTGGCAGGAAAACTTTGGACCTTCTCATCTCCCAAGGTAAAAAAAAAAAAAATCATCAGTGTTAATGTGTTAACTTTTATTTACTGGGGGGCGGGGCCTGGTGTCTGAGCCGGCTGGACATGTTTCTCCCAGGCTCCTGCTAAACCGAGCTAAAAACAAGCTATTTCTGATAGAAAATGCTGCCAAACACATACAGCTGAGCTACATACAGACCACTAAACAAGCTGGGCGCGCACTGTTTAGTCCGGACCGGACCCATATCCAAAGCAACAACTATATTCTGCTCAGAGGCCTACCTGGGCAGGCACGGACCGCGGCGAGAGGCGGCCGATCTCCCGAGGGTGTGCCTTGCATGTGGTGCTTCACTTCAGGAGCGCTGTTCCTCCCAGGGCTGCGGGGGTTATCTCGGCCCCCACTGGGAACCCAGACTTACCATCTGCCTGGAACGCGGACGAAGCCCTGAATGCCGCGTGGAGAAGACAAGATGGCCGCAGCAGTGGACACCCTGGAGATCCGGCAGTGGAGAGAAGCGTTTAATGCCAAGTTTGAGGCACTCTGCCAGAAATTCTGGCATCGCCTCGGCAAGCAACCACAGCCATCTACCACTCACGCCGCAAAGCTGGCACAGCAGGAACCCAAGCAGGGCGAGCCAAGCAACCAAAAGCCTCCCCACAAAGCTCCCTATCTGCTGGGACCGAGAGCCACTCGCAGCGCTGCCCTGACCCAGCAACAACGGGCACGGAGACACAAACACAGACGGCATTCTGCACCACTCCAAGCCTCTGCCCACTCTGGGGGAGTAAAGAACCCCACCACCAGGAGCACCCGAATCAGCAGACACACAGAGGGTACCCCTCTGTGGGCCAAGGGGCGGAAGAAACTCTCACCTGAGCACTTTGCACCCGAGGTACCCTACCCACATGATGCCAGCACACTTACTCCGGCATGAGACCGTGATGGGGAAACAGAACCCAAGTGAACTCTCAATGTACACCCTACAACTGCCGACTCGTGGGGAAGGCTGACCACGCCCCCCTCGCTGCAAATGGGTCCACATGCTGAACACGATCAGAGATTAATAGACACCATTTGCCATGCAAAACGTGTTCACATCCATATACCAAGGGTAAAGTCTGCTCCCTATTCGTGATGGGGGAACCCAGTGGCAACAAAGCCCTGTAACCTAAGTTTATGACTCTATAATAATCTCTTACAATAGGCCTGGTTGTTTACTTTATCTGCCTCTAGTTTAAGCTACTTGCATTTTGCATGTTTCTATGACCTTACTATTAATGTATTGGCCTAATGTGAATAAGCTTGTTTTCTTTAAAAAAAAAAAAAAAAAGGGCAGTACATCTTGACCTTACTTCTTTAATCATTGTCTTCACACCTCTTGTTATAAGTAATAAAGTCAATACGAAAGCTTGTACTTAACACTGCACGGCTAAAATAAAGAATTAAAAAAAAAAAAAAACACTTTTATTTACTGAGTGTCAGGAAGCACAGAGTGCCACTGGTAGGGGAGCCATAGATTGGTCAGCTGGCACTCTAAGTCAATCACTAGATCCCCATTCATAAAAAGTAAAAAACATTTTTATGAACTGTGAACTAGCGATTGGCTTAGAGCATCAGCTGACCATTGTAGTCAATCAGCGGCACCCATGCCTGATGTCAACCTGCACTTCCTGACTCAGTCTCAGTAGCCGAAAACCACTGAGCAACCTGGAGATCTGGAGCTGGAGGAAGCCTTTGGGTTTAAACCATGTGAGAGTGGTTTAACCTCTTAAAGGAAAGAGAGCACCCAGGGGCCTCCTGGCATCATAGCATTTTAATTTAGAT